AAAGGAGAGGATTGTGTTATGAAGCTGAATATACCATGGTTGCTCCACTGGTATCCCTGGATTGCTACGCAGGTTTTTAACCACCCAAGCACAGGTTCCATAGGATTTTGATCCATGGAGGAAGGTCTCAGCCAAGCCCTGAAAAGATGTTTGTTACCCTCCAAAAATAGAAATAAAATATTTACAAAGGGAATAATTGACTTTTGCTGTTTACTGCAGGCGATGGTTAAGCAGGCAGTGTCTGTACTGAGCAATGCAGTGACCACCTGCCACAAATGCTGTGATATTTGACAGATCCCTTTCTGCCAAGAACTATAATTCCTATTTAAATCTAAATAGAGGAGCCATGAATGCAGATTTCTCATCACAAAGACACTGGTGTTAATCCCCAGTACAGAAAAATAAGAAAAGCCAGAACGTTTTATTGGATTTTATATGGAAGATAATTAAACAGTATTTCTTCTTTACTTGTTATACAGCATCCCATCAACATTCCTGCTGAAATCTGTTCAGAAAGAAAGCCAGGAAGTTTTATTGCATTTTTATGCATAAGAAAAGTAGCATTTTGTATACTTGAACTTACATTAAAATAACAAAAAGTGGGTAAACATAAAATGACCAATGAATGGTGAAAACAAACAGAGCAAACAGTAAGGGAAGCATAACGCTATTCTCATGCACTCGGCTTTATATTCTAAGCATGCAAACTACAGGAATGTTGGTGTGCCCATGTATGTATTGTATATATTCATGCACCAAGCAGGTCTGAAAGCCGAAACTCCCCAAAGTTAGGAAGCGCTGGAATTAGATGTGCTTGCACACCCTTAATTTGGCCTTTTTGACTGTATACACGCGGATGTATCTCCCCCTAAAAGAATGGTGCAGTGTAGGCAGAAAATTGGCTAGGAGAATGATGTAATCCCTGCAAGAGCTGCTTTGCAGAAGCCTGTTTCTCTCCTGCCCACAAGCCAGTTTGGTATTTTGGATGTACCCAAGGAAGTTCTCTGAGCATGTTTCCCAGCAGGTGGGTGCTGCCAATCCGAGGCTGCAAGAGAATGTGTCGAAGTGTGCATTTAAAGCGTGCTTATTAATAGAGGGGAGGCGGGAGCTGTAGCCAAGGTTGCATCCTCGGCATTTAGAAACGAGTCGGTTCAGCCTGTGCTGCCATTTACTGCATTATGTGATGCATGTGGATTTTCCCAACAAAAGATGTTTATGAGGGGAGTGTATTTTAAGATCCTTTTCACGACTGTACCAGACCCCCCTCTCCAAGCAGATGGCCTGACAGTTGCGAGCAAACTATTTGTAAGCCAAAAGTAGCATTTAAAATGCTTTTTAAGAGACAGTTCCTTCTCTGTAGACATGTTCATTTTAAGCAGGTACTAATTCTGGCCGCAGCAGCACCTTCCCTGCTTCCCAGCGCATTCCAGAGCCGACAGCACAAACTGAGGAGGCGCGGGCTGAGGAAGCGCAGCCCCCAGCAGTGCCAGCAGCATGGCACAGGGATGCTGTGTCACATCACCACCCCGATCCCTGCTCTCCGAGGCTGCTGTCAGCACTGCTAGGTGCAGAGGGGACTGTGCTCCCTGCTAACGTGGGGTAATAGCGGAGGTGCAACAGTGTTGGAGTACAACAGTTTCAAAATAGGCTATATCCACAATGAAAACTGTTTACTTAGCATTTACAAGTGAATAGAAACAAGCAGGATTAGCAACAAACTTGCCAAGGACATGAATATGTTTAATTTCATTTTCATTCACAGCCTTGACTGTTACCTCGCTGGAGTTGAAGCTCTTTGGGGGAAAACAAGCAGCTGAGAACGAAAGAACTAAACCTGAGCCACTTGACCATTGCTAAGTTTATGTATTCTGGGAGGAATCTACTGGCAATACTGATTTCATACGGCTGCATTTACTGACTCTTTTAATTGCCTTCTACAGAACCTCCTGCTTGAAGGAAGAAAGCACTCCCATATCATACACTTGATAAATAAATAATGCCATTCCTCTGGAGGCAAAAATTCCATCTCTTAATCCAAGCACAAGGACAGGGACTGACCGTCCTTGCAGTCTGGGGAGATTGGTTGTGCTTTTCCTTCACCTCGGTACCTGAGACTTATTATTTGTAGCATGTAAAACATTTAGAAATACTCCTGAAAAATTAGCCTAATATCCCACAGCGATGAGTTGCGGGGTTGATTATTCACTGCACAAATGCTTTCAGAGTTTTTCCTTCACCTTTCTGTGCATATTTGTTCTGGAGAGAAAACAGAATAAATAGGTCCTTCTCCCTGCTTCTGTTATATCATCTTTTACTCCTGTGTTTTGCAAACTAAACAATGCTTGACTCTTTAATCACCTTTTAGATGGAAGCCTCATTCCTCGTGTGTTTAATCATTTTTGCTGTACTGTTTCTTACTGCAGAAGTATATACGTGTGAGCGTGCACACCTCTGGAGCAATCAAAAAGTCTGCTAAGAACAGGGTTTAAGGGTTAGCAGAGGTTTGCTCTTTGCTCCCAAAACAATCCCTGTTCATCTCATTCTAAATTCACCTTACGCAACAGGGTCCCCCCGGTGCCAGTGCAGAGATGTGTGTGCAGATGTGCAACTTTAGGAGTGAGGAGCAGGACAGAGAGGGCAGGAAGACCTCATCTCACATTCAGCAGTGCGGTCACCAGGCCAGGCCTGACTTGCTGCAGAAATGAAGGCAGAGACCAACACGGGTAAGAAATTGTTCCTTCTGTGTGAGGAATGAGTTTTCTGAAGCCTAAACCTTTCAGACATGACAATTTGTAGATGATGCTGTTTCATCTTCCTGAGGCTAACCTTTATTCCAGTCCGCCTTTGTCCTTCACCCACACTGTGCAGCACTGCAGTCTCTCTTTGAACAGTGATAATAAGTTCAGATCCAGTGCTACTGCTCGGCTTGGCCCAAAAGGGAACATGAAGGAGAAATGAGAAGCTGGTGAAAAGCCTCAGGGAGAAATGCGCTCTCTGGGTGGGACCGTCGTCCTCACGGAGGTGCAGTCAAGGCAGTTGTTATTTTCTTTTGGCAGCCTTTGGTTTCTGTGCTATAGATTTTCTCTCATTTCTTTCTGCACCCAGAATGCTATGTGTGTTATAAAGGCCAAACTTCTGTTGGGGGGAACCAGTGCGCGCTGGGAATGGTCTGTGTGTCCATAGAGGTGCACACAGATGTGCGTAGATGCACACATCTGTGTATGCCAAAACCTAAGCCCCAAAATGTTTTGGGTAGGATTCTCCTCCTCTGATTTTAGTCTTCTGAAGCTTGATTACCTCATCCAACCTTGTGTCTTAACCTTCTTCTGCAGTCAACAGAGAGAGGAGTCAATTCATCCCATCATAAAGTAGGGGTATGAGATAGAAGGGATGGCTTCTGCCCTAGAGGTATCTCCACTGCCTTTGGCACAGAATCCGTCCAGTGCTCAGGTAGGTATTTCCCTTCACAGGCTGCAGAGCTGCGTAACTAGAAAGACCCCAAAGTACTTGCTCTCACAGATCCTGCTCCTTGGGCCAGTTAAGTTGCTGTTACTGATCTTGGTATGAGCACCAGAGAGCTCTGGGGTATAGGAGGCTCTTACATACTCAGTGGGTGGAAAGTGATTATGGGCAGTGCTGTTGTAGACCTCATGCCAATCATGCTACATCGATAAGCAGTTAGATTTATATTTACAACAGTGATAGTTGGTTACTAAATGCATTTTGCCATGTTCAAATTGGGGGAGAGGAAGAGAGGGTTGTGTTTTTCCCCCCCATCTAGTTATAGCTTCTCTCTGGAAACCTCCTTAAAAAACAAAGTTAAGGTGCTGAACTCTCCTTTTGGTCTTGAAATCAAATCAGCTCTGCCTTGTCCTTGGCAAGTTCTTTGTTAATCCTGTTTGTGTATTTTAAATGCTGTGCAAACATTTTCATTGTGGATTAATGCACTCTTTCAAAGCAGTTGAGATTTTAAGATTGTCATTAATTCAGAGAGACTTCCGTTACCATTCTGGTTCTTTTGGAAACTAATTTCATACAATGCCCTTTTTGAGGCTTTGCTCAAGAGTGCTCAATGAATACTATCAAAGGCCGTATTAAAGGAGATTGTGTATAGTTGACCAGGGTTCATACCAGCGACTAGTTTTAGATAGTGTCTTACATTGAAAATATGATTCTTCAATTATACCTCTTCTTGCAAAAAATTAAATTACCTTGAATGCTTGGTCTAGTAGGCTTATTCCTTTGAATACAATAGTAAATGGTCAAATTCTTCTTCACAGTAAAGCATATCTGATTAAAAAATGAAAGAAAGAGAGAGAGAAAGAAATGTGAGAAGCAAAGTCAGTTGGAAGAGCCCTGAGATCAGTAAAAGGACAGATTGTACAAAGATTCTCCATTTGCGAAGCCCTAGTTAATTCCAGGACTGTCTGAATGCTTCAAGTAGGAAGCGTCTAAAGTACCTAATGTTCTAGCTGATTCAGGACACTGCAAGGAGGGGTCAGAGGCCCCAAGCGAGTATGCAGAAGCTCTTAAACACATTCACACTTTTCACAGATAGTAATCAAAGTGATTTGCAAATGCATCTTAGCAAAACTTTGAGATCACAGTTGTAAAAAATCATTGATACAATTAGGAGACTGAATCTGTGTTTGGTGGGACTGCAGCAATTCACATTTATTACATTTCTAAGTGTTTTCTTGTCTGCTTTCCCAGGTCATAATGTACATCTGATTTATTTGGAGAATAATAGTGATTTGCACCCCTTCCTTGTTCTTTTTTTTAATATCTTATGATCTGTGCAGATGTTTTAGGGGTGACTTCACTGTGCAGAGGGTTTGACCTTGTGAGGACACACCAGGCCATGGCCAGACAGTGGCTGGCAATGCTGGGAGGTTGGTCTTGACATGTATTGAATTGAGTGCCTACTGCTACAGAATATATACACAACCTCAAGGCTACCTACTGTGGTGTTTCTAAACAGCCTGCTTTTCTAATTCCAGGATTACAGCGCTTAAAGGCACATAAGGATGATGAGCAAGTGGAAAGGATCTTATGTCTTTACATCCACAGGGAGTTCTGTGCCTCTGTCCTGTTGGCATTAGTCATGTAAGCCTCTCATTCATCTACCTTGGGAAGACTGATTTGCTCAGCCTTTGGTGTTTTCATCTGGTTTTGATGTGCTAGCTGAACTAACTCAATGATTGCTTATGTGTATGAGAATTAATTAGAAATTTTGACTATATAAAGCAATCTTGTGGGCTCATGCTTCGTTAGTAGTCTAATCAGTTAGCCACTGCAATGCTAAGTGACTTAATTTGCACTGCAGATGCTCTAGCTAGAAGGCAGCGCACATTTGTGTGGAAGATGGATGCAGAATTTCATCAGCTTTTTGCATTAAATTCTTAGCATCCCCCTCTTACCTGGGTAGCATATGATGAGAGGACAGAGCACAAGACTTCAGCATTGTGCTCCCTGCTGAAAACTTGTCTTATGACAAAGAATCTATTGGTTTACTTTACCAGAGAAAGATGCTGGTCCAGCTTCCAGGGCATGGATGTGCACCTTGAGACTTCCGTGCATTCACTTTCTTCAGAGCCACAGTAAAATGTTCCGAGACGAAAAGCATAACGCAGGAGTGAAGTGGTTGTTTTCTTCTTTAACCACTCTCTTCCTTATTTCAGTTGTAAAATTACTCAACTGATTCTTAGGATTACAGAAAGCGCTTTGAGACCCTGAGCCACCACCTGCAGGAATCTGATAGTTTGCTAGAAAGGAATCATTCTTGTGTTCCGGAAAAGCCCTGAAGAGGACCAAGAAGCATTTCCATATTGTAGGCATTAGCAAGAAGGATTAAGCAGGCTGTAACCTTGGTCAGTCTGACTTCTGCAATTATGGAAAATTAGGAAGATTGCTGTTAGCTCCCATTTATCTTATGGCACAACTTGTCCAGGATGAATCTTCTCTTTCAAAATACTTATCTCACTAAACTAGCATGTATATGAAGTGATTTCTTTTTCTTTCTTTCCCCCATCAGATTGATAATAGACTGTGTAGGAAAGTGCTGGAAAACACAAAAAGAAGTCGGAGCAACTCGAATTGTCATGGCAATATCCTCGATTTTTCAAGAAGTTTGGTTCTGTTTAGCTAGTCACTTTAATTTTCCTTCGCTAACTTGTCTCCATTCTCTGCCATAATGATAATTCTTTCTATGACTGTCAGCCCTTTGCATTGTGACAGCCTAAATTAATGTTTTGATATTTCTCTCTTTGTAAGAATACAACAAAGAAGACAACTGCCAAGGATAGGACAGAAACTGTATGAATGTAAAACAGACATTGTGCACCAATAAAGCCAGAAGGAATAATTTTCACTTTATTGCCTTGTTAATAAGCTTTTGCACCAACTAATCCTAAACACTTTGGGTTCTATAGGCTCGTGGTGCCATTCTGCTTCATCTGAACTGCAGTAAACTTCTCACTGGGGACCTTGGATGGTTGTGGGAATACTTCAACCCATTTAGGTCAGGAGGTTTAATATCTAAGGCAGGCTGATTCAGCCTCCAGTGCTAAACTAGCTGTACATGTAAGCTCTGGTGGATTAGCTTGTTTTACAGTCATAATCATAATAGCACTTGTTCACAGCTGAAACTCTTTTGCAGACTAATATATGTTCATCTCCTTTTTACATGCCACCTCTCCAAAAGTTAAGAGGATCAATAATAAGAATTCCAAGCAGAAGATGCAGGAGCAGTCAGAAGGATTTGATTTGGCACCTACAGAAGAAATGGTGGAAAGAATTGTCTAAAGATTTTGTTGAGGTTTACACCAGTCCTTATCTAAAGTTCAAGGCCTTTCACAGCATCATTCTTGTTCTTCACATATTCCTCAAAAATCCCAAGCACATCTGGTACTGCCTTAAATGAAGCTTGACTTCAATGAGGATGGTGTTTCCAAATGTTCTTTAAAACATCCTTTTGAAAAGATCTGAGCTACTGAGATGCAGTGTAATGCTTCAACGTAGCTGAGGATTTCACTGCTATCTTCCCTCATTTTTATCATTTTCTGCCTGTTTTTCCTCTCCCGCGTCTCTTCAGGACCCAGCCCCACCTGGGAGATGAGGAATTTAAATGAAAGTAGAACAAAAAGAAATCAATTAATCTATTCCTTGTGGCAGAAGCCACCAGATGATGCTGTTACTCTTACAGCTTTTTAGCATGTGAGCAAGAGTTCAGTTTTTGAAGGAATGCTGCATTGTTATTAGTTTAGTTTTACAGTAATCCTCTGAGACAGGATAGTGGCAGAGTGTATTTTCTGCTTTATTCTCTATATGATGCAGTTCTTGGGACAAATTACTTTCCTTGGAGTTAAATTTCAGTGCCCAGCTGGAAAGTAGTGCTTTCTGGAAGCAGTGGGGACTTTTTTGATGACTGCAGATATAACTGTCACAAGGTAAAAAAGAAGCATAAAGAAAATGGGTTTCAGTTAGGAGAAAGTCCAGATTGCTTTGTGTTCCATCAGCTCACCACCAAACTCCCTGTCACTGTACAGAAAGGAGCGAAAGTTGTCACAGAAGGAAGACACTGAAGAAGTAAAGGATGCTCTTACTGCTGTGCTTGTGGTTGGCCATATATAAAGCAAGCCATAAGGAGAGCACAGTTTGACTCTCAAACCATCCTTTTGACCTGTACCTCTCCCTCTTGAGCAGAGTGCTGGATCCAGAAGAGCTTCAAAGAATAGATCTGAAGTGTGAGATGTACTATTTATCTTAATGGGCCACAAGTGCTGAAAGCTAGGGATGAAAAATTTAGCATCAGATTTGTCAAATACTTCATTGCTGATGGGATCATTTTAGCAGGAATGACCAATGACGGTGCTTATCCATCAAACTGAAGGTTTCATATAAAAAATAAATAACGGGGGAGATGGGGCTTTTGGTGGCTGATTCACTTATGCATTTTAATTAAAAATCTTGATTGTTTGAATTCAAATGAAGCAAACCCAGAACTGCTTAAAACCACAGCAGCAGCAGAGATTTGGTTCAGTCAGGTGTAACAATGATAGGATCCTGAATGAAACATAAGAAAGCTTTGCTGCATCTGCAGATCTTGCCATCGGCTATGCCTTACTCTGCTTTTACCAATGGGAGCAACCCCCACAGCAGTCATCTGAAGACAGTAAGAGCTCATGCCTCAGCCAAGCTGTGTTCTGGACAGGGATCTGTTAAACTAGAGTTTCACTGAAGGGCGCATGTCAATGTTCAAACATGCCCAGATCTCAGCAAGGCAAGATTAAACTGTTCTGTTTATGCTAAGAGAAGTGGCACGCTTCTCCTATATACCTGAGATTATCTTTGCCTTGGAATTACTAAGATTGACTGCCATTTTATGTAAAAGAAGTTCTGTTTACTTGTTATAGATCTTACAAGAGAGAATAAGCAAGCACGTTACAGAGCTAATGCATCCAGGCTTTGCTAAGCCAATTAAGCAATCAAATCAAGGTCACAGCTGAGATGGACTCAACAGATCAATGAGATTGAATGCCCAAAATTAATACACTAGGAAATTAAATCAAAAGGATAAATTTGAGACTGAATTGGTTTTGTTGTCTTGGGCGGGGGATATTTAAGGGGAAGCTGTTTTCAGTTGCCAGCCACAGCCAGTGTTCAGCTCACAGTGTTTGTCTGGCCAGCAAGAGATGCAGATGCTCAGAGGATGTGTGTGTCCATCAGATGCTTGTCCTTCCTGAGAGAGACCCTCTACAGCAAAGGGTGACCCTGATCTGCTTCATTTAAGGAGGAGGTACAACCACCTTACTGCTGTCAGCAGCTCTGCTTCATTATTTCCTTCCTTAATCTCACTGCTGTAACAAGTTATTAACTTGCTGTTCTGATTCTCCCTTTCTAACACAGAGAAATTCTTCCCCTAGAAGTGACACAGATGACAGCCAAATCAAGCAGTAACAGCTCTGGGGAAAAAAATAATAAATCCAGAAGAATCTCCCTAATTATACGCAAGATTTGCAGGGTTTGGTGTTTACTTTTAGGGACCTGTATGTAGTGCTGTTTCTCCATTATAGAGTGCAAATATGCAAGTGTGTGTTTGAGATAAGGCGGTATCATCCCGGTGTATTGAAAGGGAAATGAAAAGAAAGAGTTCAGATGCTTTGTATTTTGCCTCTTTCACTTGTGATGTTGACAGCAGCTGTAACAAAGTTTCAGGCTGAACACAACTTACAATTCACGTTGAGCATCTCAGTGGCATTAGCAGTGTCAGGAACAAGTCTTCTACCTCTTCTCCCATGAATTGTACAGGCACAAGAAGGGAAAGCTTTGTGGCCAGAAGCTGTCCATGCTGGCTGGAAACGAATGTATTCCTTCCCATCAAGACCTTCACTCCTTTAAGAGTCCTGTTCATGATTAGCTTCAGACCTTGCTGTAGGTAATGTTGCCTGGTGGAAGCCTTAGGCTATGCGGCCACCAGGATGAGTGTTCACTGCCAAGCAATGTCTGCTAGTTTAATTGCAGGCTGCCTGCCAAAGCATAAGGAGATACGGAGAGCAGGCTGCAAAAACTTACCTTTACTTTCTAGCTCACTGAAGAATATCAGGTGTACAGGGCAATAAATAACTTTAAAAATGAATTCTATATGGGTTCTTTCAGAGCAGTTACTTCCTCCTCACCCTACCTTGGGCACTTAATGCAGGTAAATTCCCCAAAGAAAAATATTCCTTTCTTTTAATTTCTTTTTTAACATAAGGCTAAATTTTGCTCATAATTAGAGCTTTTCTAGGTCCAGTTCAGAGTGATAGCGAGGAACCTTTGTTCTATAGGAGCAGCTTTTCCTTTGAACATAGTCCAGGGAATTGGGCTGCAAGGCTTGGGTCTTGGGGCCCTTTGCAGGGGCTTCCTTCATCCTTCATCATGAGGAAGCAATTAGCCACTCACCAGGTCTCACCAGCCCTCTGCCCTGGAACATCCACATCAGGGGTGCTGCCCAAGTCATGATGGAAGGGCGCAGAAGGGAGTTTTCTTGCTGTTGGCTTGAACATCCCAATGGGCTTGTAAAGCCCGAAGGCTGGTTGCCTGTGTCACAGCCCGGTGCAGAGCATGCCAATGGCAACTTGTGTGAGCAGCTATCCCCCAGCATGAGGGGCAGGCTGCCGAGCCAGGCCTTCTGTTTGGGCAAAACCCAGCAACGCTGCTGAATTAAAGACATAATTGAGGGTTTGGCAAAATTGCAGCACAGCTGCCCAAGGTCATCTCCAGTGAAAGTAGCCGAGGAGGTTTACACAGAAGATTTTAATTGGATTTTCTTTCTCTCTTTAGAAAGGTTTAGAGCTATCGGATCTCCCCACACTACAAGCGGCATGAATATGTCCAATGATATTGTGAGCTGATTATTGTTCATTCTTAACGGCTTTCCATCTCCGTAACAACAGTATTAGCATTAATATTGTGCCCAGGGCTCTGAATATGGAGACTAATGGAACTCAATCAGCTCTTAAAGAACAAAGGATCCCTTTTACGTGGCACCCGGTGACAGTCAGAGGATTGGATTAGCAACTTGTCAATCCTCCTGTTTGCAGCTCTTTTTGGATGCGCTCTTGAACGCGGATAGTATGTAGAATTACATTATCTGAGAAATTAATACAAAACATGAAGGTATGTGCTATTCCCTCCTGACCTGATTATTCTAGATTATTTAACTAAGTAGCCAGCACAGCCCCTAATTTAAGTGCTGAATTTCTACAGCAAAAAAAAAAAAAACATTCTCTTTTCTCATAAAAGAAGCCCCCGAAAGAGCAAGCTCAATTGCCAATTATGCTTCTTCCATGAAATCTCTTCTATCCCCTTCAGGATAGGTTTGGGTAAAAATATAATTGCAGTGGATCAGGATGCTTAAGAAAAGATGTAAATGAAAAATGTTATGTGTTGGCATCTGATTGATCCATTTGAAAGGAAGAGAAGGGGAATGTGACGAGATGGTAAGGAGCTCATAGTTTGTTTCGAAGGAACCCAGCATTTTTAACCTGTACAGGGTGCTGAGCTATAATTAAGAACGGCAAGTCAGTGAAAAATCTATTTAAACTCCTGACAGCTTCTCTAGATGAGCATTTTTGACATCTCCATTCACTCTGGCAAATCACTAATGTGGTTTCCTTCTTTTTTTCTTCCCCCCCAAAATTATATTTCTATTAGCTTTCTGCACATAATAACAAAGTGAAAATGATGTTACAGCCTGGACAGGTCTTTAGCTCCAAAGCTCAGTTCTTCCAATGTGCTTAATTAGCTGCCTGATGATTGTTTTATTCTGAGAGAAGTTTTGTAAATGTGTTTTCATCTATAAAGGGTCTTTAAAGTGAAAGCAACTGTTTGAT